GGGGGGGGGGGGGCCTATTCTGGCTCCAGAGTCCCCATGGGGTTGGTAGAGACCGTTACTGGGGCCACATCATGGCTCAGCCTCCCCCTCTGCCCCCTCGTGCTTCCATCCCTTCCTTTACATAGGTGCTGATCCCAAGGGCAGCCCCCAATCAACACCTCACACATTAAACTCCATCTCAGTCTGTTCCCTGGGGAACACAACCCATTACACACATCCTTGGGCTGTGAATTCTTGTGCATTTCAGCCCAGTGTTCTGGTCCGTCAAAGCCACAGGAACATCAGTCTTGGGTAGAGTACCCATTCCTTCCTCAGCCATCTGCAAATTGCATGATCCTGCTGCCTGAGATACCTTTATCCAACTAACTGATAAATATTCCTGGAAGGACCGAGCCCTTCAGGACAGGACAGCACAGGAAACCTCCCCCAGGCGAAGGCTGGGGTACCCCTGCACCCTGCTTCCCCAGCTGGCCCAGGGCCTGCCCTAGATCCTGATGAGCCATGAGCCAACTCACTCCTCATGCATGACGCACAATGGGTCCCTTCTGATGCCTCGCAGTCATTTATGTAGAAATCTTTTCCAGATCTGTGCCTGGGACTGATGCCCAATCTGTCTGCAATTTGGGCAAACCCTCATCTTGAAGTCTGTTTTCTTTTGTAGCTTAGCTTCCATCCACCATGACTTCTCAAGTACCACAGACGGTGGATCTCAGGTATTAGCTGTCTGGGATTTAACTCGTCAGAAGCTGGAGATTACTCTCATCCACAGCAGCTCTCTGCAGACCCTCGTATCTCCCTAATGAATGGGACTCTCCTCCCTCGCTCTTTCCCATTTCCAGACTACTCTCTGACAGGGATGGAAGCAAATGAGGGGCGGAGAGGTTCTGCCCTTATTCTGTCACCAATTCACATGGCACCACCCTCTGGGGCCTGCAGAAAGCCTTCTTATTTATTTTTCTAATCACTTGTTTATTTTTGGTAGGGGAAAAATGAAAAAGTACAAGAAAGCATACAGAATATTTAAACATTTCAAACACCCATGTACCCACCAGCCAGAAGTGAATATATGCTGGCATGTGGTCATATTTGCACCCGATTTTAAAATATTAAAATAATACCATTTTAATGTTTCCAACTTTAGATAAATGCTATAGTGTCCATATCCATCTGAACTTGCTTTTCACACTGAACATTACAATTCTGAGTTCTCTTTACACTGTTCATTTAAATGCTGCCAATTGGGCTTTTGCATGGTATCCTTAAGCAATGCCTGTCCCTCTCCTCCTTTCCCTGATGAAGCCCACACTGGACATCACACTCATGTCATCCCTCTTCTTAAAGTTCCCTGGCCTGGTGTGAGTCCCTATTACAGAGTTTTTCAAACTCCAATCACCTGAGTACTGACATCATTTTCTGCCATATCCATGAAGCTTCTATACTATCATTTACATACTATTTAGTTTCATAATGATTCACCTTTTTTTTTAAATCCTTACCCAAGGCTATTTTTTTAATTGATTTTAGAGAGAGGAAGGAAAAGAGAGAGAGAGGAACATTAATCGGTTGCCTCCAGTATTTGCCCTGACCAGGAATCGAACCCGTAATCATTTGGTGTGTGGGACAGTGCTTCAACCAACTGAGCCACCCAGCCAGGGCTATAATGATTCACTTTTAAAAAACTTTAACTATCTATAATATTCTTATTTTTATTATCTCTAATAACATCTGTTGATAATGGTTGGAGCTGGGAACTGGGCACATAAGATACACTAAAGTATTCATTTCAGTTTTGTTCCAAAACCAAGTAAATAAAGCAAAACATAAAAAACCCCACTCCTCCTGCCTAGATTCTGCAATAGTGTTTCTGTCTTTGTTCCCCTTCCTCTACAGTCCATTCTCAACCCCACGGTCAGAGTAAATACTGTTAAAATGTCCCTTGTTAGTTCCAACCTCCCAGGTATTCTGTATCCTCGGAATCAAGCCCCTACTCCTTCCTTTGATGTACTTGCCCTGCAGAACCCACCCCATCACCTCCCTGACCTCACCTTCCCACCTCTCTTTGCTCTAGCTACCTGGGCTTCCTTGAGGACATGCTGGACATAGTCCACCTCAGGGCCTTTGCATGTGTTGTTTCTTCTGCTGGAAAGCTCTTTCCTGATATCTGCATAGCTCCCACTTGCACCTCCTTCAGGTCTCTGTGCCAATGTCACTTTCTCAGTGAAGTCCACTCTGACCACCCAAGTCCTGTAGTAACTGTCCTTTCTGCCCCCAGTTCTTCTCCAGCCTCCTCCTGCCTGTGGGCCACCTGTGCTTACCAACACCTGACTTTCTATTTTACTGATAGATTTGTTTTAAAAAAAAGTATTGATTGATTTTAGAGAGAGGAAGGGGGGAAGAGAGAGAAAGAGATTTGTTGTTCCACTTATTTATGCATTCATTGGTTGCTTTTTGTACATGCCCAGACTGGGGATCGAACCCACAACCTTGGTATCAAGATGCCGCTCTAACTCACTGAGCTACCCGGCCAGGGTTTAGATTTGCTTATTACCTGTCTCCCTGCACTGGGTGGGATATCAGCCCCATGAAGGCAGGGACTTTGGCCTGTTTGTTTCACTGTTCTTTCCCCAGCACCTCACATAGAATCTGGCATACAGCAAGTACTCAATCATTAGCTGTGGAATAAATGACCAAGTTAATCCTAATGGGAGCTTCTGGGAAAGACTAGTAACCAGACTTATTATAAAGGTCAGCTTCAAGTTTTCAGAAAGGAACTGAGGCTGGACAAGGGAACCAGGCATGATCTGGGTTTCCTCTAAGAAGAATAGTCAGCCAGGCCAGCGTGGCTCAGTGGTTGAGCACTGACTTATGATCTAGGAGATCGAGGTTCAATTCCCGGTGAGGGCACATGCCTGGTTTGCGGGCTCAATCCCCAGCAGGGGGTGTGCAGGAGGCAGCCGATCAATGACTCATTATTGATGTTTCTATCTCTCTCCCTCTCCCTTCCTCTCTCTGAAATCAATAAAGACATATTTTAAAAAAAAGAACAGTCAATACCAAGAAAAGCCTGGGGAGTTCCTGACCTTCTATCCATTACGCCCCAGGGAGGTGAGTCCCCAGCTCCTTTCTTACCAGTCAGCATCTCCATTCCATAACCAGAATCTTCTGAGGGTAGATGCCCTGGCATTGAGTCTATTATTTCCTCAGAGGTTGGCGAAGGGTCTGGAAATAAAATTCCAAATGACAAGAGAATCTTCTGCCTGCTTCACCCCATCATGGTCCTTCAGGGACCCCAGTCCTGCATGCCCACAGAGCACGGCCCTTAAGGAAGCTGTTCCCTGGAAATCTGGGAGGGCAGCCTTAATGATCAGAGGCCAGGCAGGCACCCAGGGGCCTGGGCCCTGGGGCTCCCAGTGGTTACCCATGCTGAACCTCCAGAGGCCAAGTATACCCTCCTTCTCACAGACGTGGAAACTGAGGCTTGGAGGTTCCGAACCTGGAGTCAAACTCAGATCCTTACTCCAGTGACTTTTCTTCTCCCTCCTACCTACCAAATCCCAGGGAAGCCAGGCCAGAGAGGTAAAGTTGGGGGGGGTGTGGATCTTTAGGAAGGCTGGAGCTGAGACCTGACTCTGGGCACACAGGGCAGATGTGGCCCCACCACCCTCAGGACCAAACTAGAGAAACAACAGCCAGGGTAGGCCCTCGAGAGATAAGAGGGAACAGCCCCAATCTAGATGGGAGGGGACACGGAGGTTCTGGTAGGTCTAGGAGCCCTGTTGTGGGAGTTGTCTAATTCCTGTAGGTTCAAATTGGGGCAGCAGGGGCAGCCCTTCAGACGTTTGTCCCTTACCTGGGACGGTGACCTGAATGATATCCAGATCCTCTGGCTCAATTTTGATGGGCCTCAGCCCACCCAGCTCCCCGGAGGTTCCTGCGAGGAGGAAACAGGAGATCCAGTCAAATGTGGACATGAGCTTGGCTGGGCAAGGTGAGTCATTCCAAAACATTTTCATGTCTGTGATTTTGCTAGTAGCACCCAGAAAAAGTCCTATCAGCCCCCATGCTTCTGCCCAGACTACGAATGGAGGGGCAGGCAGGATCTCAGGCCAATCCCGCTGTCTCCAATTTATAGAGCTGGCAACTGAGGCTCACAGAGGGACAGACAATAGTATTGCCATAGACATACTAGGAGCCAGTGGTGATGCCAGAATCCAGGTCTCCTGACTCCTCACAGCGCTACCCAAATCTCACCTGCCCCTCACAGCCCCCTACTACCCATGAGCTCCCAGCTGCTCTGCAAATCCCAGAATGCTCTGAGGCTGGGGGGTGAGGGGGCAGGGGTGGGCAGAGCATATTCATTACCGCCCCAGGCCCATGCTCTGAGCTGCTGGGTGGGGCTGCTGGAGGCTGCCGGGTCCTGCTCCTCCTCACCTGGCCCATAGTCTTCAGAGATCCCGCTCCTGTCTGACCTGTGGGAAGGAAGCCGAGAAATGACATGGCACCAGCCCAGCTTTCCCCTATGCCCAGTGCATGCCAACTCAGCATGCACCCTAGACCACGTTTACCCCCAGACCCTTTCCACTGCAAGGTTCCCAGTGCCAGGGACAAGAGCCTGCTTGCTATCCTGGGGTGAACTGTCTGGGGGTCCACCTTCCCCACCAGCTGGGAGCTCCTGAGGCCTAGGTCTGACTAGGTTGGGAGCCAATTCAGCACAGTGGGGTTTGATCAGTGTTTTTTGGAGGACTGAGAGCTATAGGCTGCGGGGGTCTGGGAAGGGGATTGGGAAGCAAAGCTGGGCAGGGTGCCTAGGATGGACGATTCAGTTAATTCATGGAACTTGTGGGGGAGGCCTGGGCCAGACATGGGAATTTGGGATGAATGGCCCATACCTGGCCCCCAGGGGCCCAGAGTGTGGGTGGGAGGCACTGGTGGACAGTGGCGGGGCTATGAACTGAGTGCAGGGCTTTGTGAACACACAGGGCAGATGCCCGGGTCACAAGGAAGGCTGCTGAGACCAGGTGACATGCAGCTCGTTCCCAAGGGGGAACAAGAGTCTCCCAGGTGGAGGAAAATCGACGGTCTCTGTTCTCCTTCACTGTCCCTTTAGATTTTCCCTGCCCACAGTGGGGTGAGGACGCACTGTGTGTGTAGGGGTGTTTGTGTGGGGTGACCCCGTGCCTGTGAAGGGTTGGGAGACCTGGGCACGGGATCCTGAGCCAGCCCTAGGCTTTGCTCCTTCCTGCAGGTGCCACCACCTCAGTCCAGAGTGGGGGTGCCCATGGGCTAGGAGCTGGGGTGGGGCCTTACCGAGCAGTCCCAGCCAGGTCAAGGACAGTGGCACGGGAGACTTCTGCAGAGGTGTCCTCTGGTGGGCTGGCGGGTTCCAGTTTGGTGGGGTCTTTGGTAAACTTGTTCCCTGGGTGGAGAGTAGGGGAGGGGCGGGGGAGATCAGGGTAGAGGCTCTCCAGCCTCCTTCTGCCTGTGGGCCACCTGCATGAAGGGGCCTTTTCATGAAGCTCTTGGGAGCACCCTTGGGTGTGGTTGGCCTCAGCCCCTCCTTGTGGGCTCCATGTCCAGCTGGGCCAGCGTGGGTCCTAAGGAAAGATGCCTCCCTGGGAGAAGGAATAAGGGTCACAGTGCCAAGGGAGGCCAGGGACCTTTGAAGACTGGGAAGGAGGAAGGAGCTGCCAGAAATAGCGGTCCTGACCACGCATACACTCCTGGGGCTGAGGGAGCCCTCGAGGAAATGGGCCGAACCTTCCTGAAGGCCATACTACAGGACCACCCTCTCATTTAGTTACCCCGGGAACCCAGAGGAAGGCGCTCTTATCACACCCACTTCAGAGATGTGGAAACTGAGGTCCGTAAAACCCTGCCCACAGCCACAAAGCTGGTAGATGGTAGGGCCAGAAATGGGACCTGGGTACACTGCACCCCAAGATCCGTGCTCCCTTTGCTGAACCAGGCAGAGCTGGCCTCCTCCTGAGAGGCGTGCTGCCTACTGATTATAGCCTGGGCTCTGGGGCTACGTGCCTGGGTTTATAGCCAGACCCCACTGCTCACTAGCTGGGCTTCAGGGAAAAGAAAAATCCCCCACTTCATAGGACCACTGAAAACTAAATTAAATGAAAATGAAGTATTCTCACAGCTTAGGAGAGTTCCTGCCCGTGTTAGTATTCAGCAAACATTAGCTCTATTATTCCCTGTTCAGGGCAGCCCAGGTCCCCAGGGGTTGTCTGCTTCAGGGAGCTGGGGGCTTGTGTTTTCCCTGGGATGCAGAAGCCACACCCAGGGTCCCTCTCTGTCCTAGGGTTCAGTGTAATGGCAGCTCAAGCACTCTTGGGGGCATCAGCTTAGTGCTTCAAAAAGATAAGATGGTACCCACACATACCTGTGAAAATTCGCTCATCAAACATCCTAGAGAGAGAGGAGAGATGGACATGAGAGCGGTGCAGGCCCAAGGGCTCCCCCAAGCTCAGGGGGCCGGCCTCCAGGTCCCCTCAGTGATGGTCACTCGCGTCCCTCATGCATGGCTACAGTTGCAGACCTGGGCCCCGTGCTGGCCACATGTTGACAGGAGAGGGTATGGTCCAGAACAGCCGGATACCCCCAAATAGCCTGACACCCCAAACCATTTTTCCTCAGCCAGGGGAGGCATGGGCAAGCCCCTAGCCCACTGCTGCAGCCTCCTTTCGAGTCTCCCCACATCTGCTCAAGTGTCCCCGAGTCCACTCTTTCCCAGCAGTCAGAGGGCCCGGCCAGTCAGAATCCTGATTCTGGCCTCTAGCAACCCTGCAGAGGCCCTACCTACCACCCCAGAACGATTCTCAACCTTTTCTCATGCCCCAGCCTCCTTGCAGCCCAGGCGTGAAGGCTGCTTGCTGAGGCCAACCCTTCCGCCCAGCTCTACGTGGAGCGGCCCCTTCTCAAACTCCCAGCTCTGGCTTAACAAATGGGACCTTCTCCCAGAGGCCCCCTGATCACCCTAAATAGGTCCCCTTCACCCACTTCTCTTTCTCCTATTACCCTGTTTATTTCCTAAGCTCTTAAGAAGTTAGGAGGTGTGAGCCCGACTTAGAGAAGCATGCGTTCGTTTGTTCATTCACTCACTCATTCCTTCTACAGATCCGTAGTAGCCATCACTACACACCAGGGACTGTTACGGTTACTGGGGATTCGGCAGTGAGCCAAACACAGTCCTCTTCTCTTTCTGTCTCTACCTCAGCCCAAACACAAACAGCACAAACACTGTCCGCAGTCTCTGCTTACTTTATAGTTTAGTGGCAACAAACAAGCAAGCAGGCACATGATCAAATGAATGCACTGGGACCGTGCCCTCACGGAGGGAACATTCTGGAAGAGATGCCTGGGGAGGGACCAGTGCAGTGCTGCCTGGAGGCAGGGGGCTGGCTGGCACAGCCTCTGGCCACTCCTCCATCTCTAACCATTTAGGAGGGAGCATCTGGAAGTCTGGGTATTGCCTGAAGCTGCAGGTGTGGGCTTGATGGTGAGTCCAGGTAGCTGTGAGNGTATTGCCTGAAGCTGCAGGTGTGGGCTTGATGGTGAGTCCAGATAGCTGTGAGGGCCAGCTATGAGGGCCAACACCCTCCCCAGGGAGGAAGAGGCCACTCCACTGTTAGGTTAAGGGGTCTGAATTCTCTCCCAGGTCTGCCTGATTCTCTTTGTGAAGTCAGAGAACCCCTTCATTCCACCCCTGCTCCACTGTCACCTTCCCAGGGCCCTGCCTCATGCCTGCTGTTGCCCCTGCCCAGCCCTGACACCCTAATGCTCCGAGCCCAGGCCTAGCCTGGAGCAAAGGCCGTGGCTCTGCCACCTGCCCCATACCTCTTAATGATGAAGTGGATGCTATGCCGCTCCTCCAGGATCCGCTTCAGCTTGGGGACCCCATAGGTGCAGGGACGTTTGAAGGGGATCTTGTCTGGGATGCCCACTATCTCCACAGCCTCTGGGTCGCAGGCGATCTTCCTGTAGGGGACTGGGACCATGTGGTCTAGGCCCAAGGCTTCCGCTGGAAGGGCAATGGCAAGGCTGAGTGCAAGATGAAGGCTGCAGGACACACAGGCCTAAGGGCCATGGTCACCATCACCTCCCACCTTCCTGGCACTTCTGGTTACCCAGTGGCCATGCTGAAATGTCATAGGCTCCCATCTCACTCAGGGATGGTCAAAGTCCTACCTGGGCCTATGAAGCCTGACGTGACCAGGACCCCATCATCTGTGACATTATCGCCTTCCTTCTGCTCCTCTGCTTACTCAGAGGAAGCAATTTCCAGGTGGAAACTTCCTGGTCTCTCTGTTGCTTCCCTAACACACCAGGCACACACACACCCCAGGGCCTCTGCTTTTTTTTTTTTTT